GGTTTGATATGATTCTGCTGCGAGCTCTGCTAGTAGACCTATAGTGGCCATATTTAACTACTTGCTATTCGGAAGCATAGTATTGGACAGCGACTGCTGTAGCTTTTATTGTACTGATTTTGATTGGACAATAGGGATGACCCACCCTCTGAGGAGTACTTAAATGTTCCAGTGGATTGCACACCTTAGTCTGGCTGCCGCTCACTCTGCAAGCATCTTCTGTGGTACATCATCTAGGGATAAGATGCATTTTCTCTTCAGATGGGCGTGTATTGTACTCCCCAGATGTCCTTAAATTGGTTTCCAGATGTGTGTGTGTTTTGAAATATTCACAATGCTTCTAATTAAGAAGCTGAGGGAACGTGTGGCGAAGATAGATCGTACTTATCCGGGATGCCACCTTTTCTTAACGGAATTGTAAATACTTAGGATTTCACCTTATAGCTTCGTTGGAGGCTTCGCCCGATGCATTCGCCTGAAATATATATTGATCAATGCATTCACCTTTGAAATATAGATTAATCAATGCGTTCACCTGAGATGTAGGTTAATAGCTTCGCTGGATTCCCTTTACAGTATTCAAGGGCTGTTTGACGTGGTTCAGTCTTATTCAACCATCGCATTTCAATGATATATGAACGGACATTTTTGGATGTACATATCTGAATATATACAGCTGCAATTGGCACGTTTCAGGTACGTAATTGGAAACATTCAACTGTAATCCGGTGCGTTCATGTATGTTCCAGATCTTCTGTCGTATTTAGGGGTGTCACTCTCTCTGCGTTGGCGACAATGTTGGGACAAATCCACGAATGCTCCTCCCAGTCCAGTGCCTATAAAGCCGGGTAAAAAGTGGTAACTCAGTATCGAAGTATGTGTATACCTCAATTATTATAACCTTATGATACATACAAACATATTGCAACATACATAAACCATTTGGTCCGAGCACCTCAGTGCACTAGAATACAGACTGACATCCATGTACCAGGCCAATTGGAAGAAGAAATTTTTCAGTACCAAACAAATATGGAAAGGACCGCACGCACACACGAATAGTTGTAGTACGCGTGAGAACGGGGCTCTCATAGCATCAACATACACCAACATCAGATAGGAATACAGTCATACTCGTCATAGTAGGAAGGATGAATACAACACGAATCTTTCGCACTCCACTATTAATGTCTGCCAGCACACAAAGTGGACGAATAAATGGAAGGCGCAGACGCTTACAGCATGAATGGTTTCCATAGAGCTCATGTTTAAGACACTCGAATCTTTCTCAAATCAATATACACTCATACACAGTGTTGTGCGTCAGTACTGTCGAGTACAGGAACAAGTACGTCTACATATGCACCTAATATATCCAAATAAAGCTAAGCCCGAATAGACCTGTCTACTCGGGCAAATCATAAAGACGAGTATGTAATTGTAGCGGATATATGTGTACATACAAACGCCAATGTGCAGGTATAGTAGTGAGTTTCACATCATTGAGAACAAACACGGGAGACTATATTCGCGGGCTTACAAATACCACGCATTGCTCGCCGCAGACCACCAGTAGATAAATTTGTGTGTGCAGTTAAGTTGCAATTATCGATGTACACTGTTGGATGCACGTGCACATCAAAAGTTCGGTACAGCTCAACAAGAGTACATACACCTGGAACACTATGGTAGATAAGCTGATTGCGATACTTACAAAGCATTCATCGCCGCAGAATACCCTTTTCTCTCTCACTCGACACCAGCTATAGTATAGTGTGTTCGCAGCAGAAGGGCTGTCTGAGGTTTGAGTGCTTCTGCCATGGTTAGTATCTGGATGATCACTATGGTCGACCGACAATTTTTTCGTGTGTTCGTGGTGTACGTGTGTTTATGTGTATGTATTCGCATAGTGCTGGTTGAATTTCATTTCTTGCCAAAGTAGGCATGTACTGTATATCTACTGAGGGCTGGCAGTGAAGGTGCAATACATGTCCATGTTGCTGCAGCTACGATGTCAACAACGAAACAACTGATCTTTAACTGATAACGAAATGTGCAATCTAAACCCTACCTGCTGGTAAACCCCTATATCTCCGTGGGCGAAATATACGTTAAACCGTTTTACAACTGATCCAGCTGGTTTTGAATATAGGTGCAGGTTTTAAAGGCATGTATTTAAACGTTGAACTGTTTCCAAAAATTTCAGGGTCATTTGTATTGATTCTATTATAGAATAATTAAAACGTTTACGCGTAGCCTCCTGAAAATGATATATATTTAGCCCATGATTAATACGTTCAACTATTCTTCAGAAGACCCATTTCCTCCATTAAAAATACATACTGACATCTATAGCTATGTAGTGTGCTCAGCCTTCTAAATCAAACAAGGTTATGTCGTGTATCTTCTGTGAAGTAGGAGAAGACCTTGTACATATGAATGTGTAGGTCACTTATGCCTTCACAGTTATATGCCTACTTCATACATAAAGCTACGCATGACATCCACTAGGTTTCACACTACTTGTATATTGCATGTGTTTACACACAACCAACATTATCATTCATACTCTACGAATACTCAACACGCAAGGGTGCAGTGACTCAAGACACGAGCACGAGTATTTTTATATTTAACCAAATACATACAGCCATCTTGGACAGTACATAACAGCTACGACACCTCACGACACGGCAAATTTGTCAAATATCAGTGACCTATTTCATCCGACAGGGGAAGGTGTTCTACTGTAAGAGACGACGCGTCAGTATTGTGAAAGTATACATTCAATATGAGTACATACGATGATCTCTACGATAACGCAACAGAGGATGGGGACGGCGATTCAACGGCACAGTATGCGGACGCATTAGACCAACGCATGCTGCTGCAAGCGGAGAACACGCGCTTGAAAGCTGAATTGGAGATATCTCGGAAGGCTAATGTAGAGATGAAGACTCAGATTGAGAAACTGAATAAGGAGAAGAGTACGTTAGCGTTGCATAACAAGGCACTTGGCAAGAACATATCGGCGCTCTATAAGACGGCAAAGGTCGAGATAGCCCGGAA